GCACCCACCCCCCCCCGTCACCCGCACCCACACTGTCCCATCACCCGCACCCATCCCACCCCATTGCCCGCACCCACCCCGTCCCACCACCCGCACCCATCCTGTCCCACCGTCTGCACCCATCCCGTCCCATTGCCTGCACCCATCCCATCCCACCACCTGCACCCATCCCACCGCACTGCCCGCACCCATCCTGTCCCACCGCCCGCACCCATCCCGTCGCACCCTACCGCCTGTAAAGGTGATGTCTTGACGCTGAGCAGCTCTCCCGCCCCCCCGGGGAACGGGGGCACCCACCGCCAGGGCAGGTCCTGTGCGTCCTGACGTGTCCACCCACCTCCAGCTGCCCAACCAGCCCCGTGGGCCGTCGGTCCGTGCTGCCCACGGACGAGGGGTCGCAGCAGGCAGAGCTTGGGGACAGAGGACAGGAGCGTGGCTGTGAAGGAGGCAGAACGTCTTGGTTGTATCAGATTTGGGTTTTGCTCATGGGAAGCAGGACAAGAAACGTCAGTGAATGCCAACGCGACGCACAAGGAGGGGGTACGGTACCTTCTCCCTTGATCCAGCTGCCCAGCATTTGTCATGTACCATAGCCAGCAGATTAACGAGAGACGTTCGTTAGCTCTTGGGTAGATAGGACCCCAACTGGAGGTGCTCTCCATGGGAGGTCGCACCCTCGTTGCTCGGTGCGTCTCCACTGTGTTGGGAGTGACTCTTCTGCTAAACCAACCTTTGACGTTCGTCGGGGAGGACGTGGGACAAACTTGTGGGACCCCCTCAACTCTTGTGACCCATCGCTTGGCTTCTGGCTTTTTCCAGGAGCGAACCACACAAATCCAGCTGCTAATTAATGATGGAAGCAAAACGAGGGTGCTCTGAAGGAGCCGGTGGCCGCCCCGAGGCCACGCTTGTGGCTCTCGGCACCTCCTGCTCGGCAGCTCGGGCAGCCTGATGACGCTCCTCCGTTGTCCCCGCGTCCTCCTGGCCACCGCTCCGGAGGCGGCTGCTTCGCCTCCGTTCAGCTGCTCCGGGAGCCCCGTGGGGACCTGCCCACGGTCACGCGTGGGGCTGGCCCTGCCCCTCGGCCGGGCAGTGCTGGCCGGGGACCTCGAGAGGGAGCCCTCCGCCCGCGCTCGGCCACCGCCGGCGTGGCACTGCCCCGGGACCCCCGGGGGGACCCCCGGGGACACCCCCGCAGCATCCCTCGGCGGGCGGCAGAGGGGACGCGTGGGGCTGGGGCTCTTCCCACCTATGCCAAGGACACACGGACGGCTCCCGGATGGGGTCCGCAGGGGGCTGCGGCCCTGCGACACCTCCTGCCACTGCCACAGGCACTTTGGCCCCTCTGCAGCTGCCAACACGGGTCCAGTCCTGCCCCCGAGCTCTGCACCTCCTTCCCCGGCACTGTGGTGACGACGGCTTTGTGGCTGGGCCTCTAATAGTGGCTTTCACACTCCCAGCACGGTTTCTGCCATTAATTGAAGTCTGACCTTCATTTACAAGATAAACCAGAGGCAGGGGACGCTGCCAGCGTCCCCCTGCCCTGGCTCCACTGCCCTCCGGGCCGCAGCAGGGTCATGCCTTCCCTGAGCCTTGACCTGCATGGATCCAGTCCCAAATTAGCCGTTGCTTTTCCAAACATTGCCTTCCTGGGGCTGGTTCGCTCCGCCGTGCCGCACACAGCTGTGCAAACAGCTTCGCCCGGCATCACAGCGGCTTTGGGCTGGCTTGGACCCAGCACCGGCCAGCCGGGGTTTGGACTGGACCTGCTGCCAACGTCGGAGCATCCAGGCTGTCCCCTGAGGATGCACAGCAGGACAGTGGGGACTCCTGCAAAGGGTGGCAGCAGATTGTGGCAGGTTGGAGCTTCCCCGTGCCCGGTGCCGAGGCTGGACTTTGTCCCAGCACGTGGCCTGGCGCTGGAGGGCTCCCACTCGGGCACGTGCTGTCCTGCTGCCGCGGTGCAGTTCCTTGGGATGACGTCCTTGTGCCCTGCCTGGGCACAGGGGGTCTGGCTGTGCCCTGGCTGTGCCGGCTGCATGGGGTGCATCGCCCTGTCCTACTGGGACCCTGGAGCTGGGGCTGGGCCAGCTCAGTGCCACCGCCACGGTGGGGTGTCCCCATCACCCCTCAGCGGGGAGGCTGGGTGATGCGCGTCCCTGAGGCAGGGGCTTGGCTGGCCACCCCGAGCCCACAGACCTCGGGCATGACCTCGCCTGCCCTCCCTCACCAAGAGGGAGGTGCAGGGGTGGAAGGGCAGCTCAGATGGGTCCCTTGCCCTTGAACCTGCCACTGAGCTGGGACAGGTGATGGGAAAGACCAAGTCTGAGCTGGGTTTGCATCCCCTGCAGGGCCAGGCATCTCCAGGCTGCGCTCTTCCAGTTCTAGCAATGTCCTCTGCTCCTAACCTGCCTGCAGGTCCCACATCTGAGCCGGTCCTGGACCGGGGTGACGGGTGTGGTGGCAGTTCATGCACTGGGCAGGTGGGCCTGCATTTCCAAAGACCAGTACAGGGCATCCTTGGCATGGCCTTGGCCCTCAGGGTGGGACTAACGCTGTCACCCGGACAAACTGATCCCGGAGGGAAGTCACTAACCCTCTCCAATGGGGTGGAGCTGTGGGATGCCTGGTGCCATGGCTGCACATGCCCCAGAGGCTTGCTTGGTTGCCCATGAGGCCGTGCATAAGCCCAGTGGCATCAATTAGCAACGGACAGATGGTCCCCGGCAGGAGCACAGAGGAAGGTGTGTGCACGAGGCCTGTGCTCTTGTGGGCACCCTGAGAGGTCTG